TATATATATATATATATATACATAATAATAAATAATAATGAAGCATTTTTTATATATTTTCAGTAGGAGAAAAATTTCTGTGGGAGAATTTATGTCCACTATATATAATTATTACTCAACAACTAACCTTGTTCATAAGGGCAAAAGCTAAGCTGTTATTTTTGACAGGTTGTACAGCCGAATCAGATAGCGCTCTTGCTAATCGGAGTATCGTATCAAAACTTTTCACAGTATTAAGCCATCTTCGATATTCGGAATAAAAGTTTGTTAATAAATGACAATCTCTACGACCTATTATAGCTAGTCCTTTGAATATTGCAGTCCATAATTCTCTTAACTGCTCCTGATATTCTGTTACATCCAAATGAGGTAAAAAACGCAGTAATAATGTCTGAAACGTATAGACACGTGTCGATACATCGAATATGATTATTAAGATTCGGGTTTCATCGCACGTCAATTTACCTTTCCTTTTCGAATACTTAGCATACTAGCTAATTTGTCATCTTGTACTAATTGTTGTAGAGACGATAGCATCATGCCGATTAATTCCGGTTCAGATTTATTTGTATTTGTCTCAGCTTCCCCATCTTGCTGTTGTTGCGGTTCCGGGATAACAGCAAGAGGATTGCTCAAATCTTCAAGTTTCAATAGTACTATGTACAGCTGAAAAACAATAATTTTTCTTGATGAAAAGAAAAGATATTATCAAAATATTAAATCTCGCTGATTGTGTTAGAACATTGGTAATATACCCTCTCAATTTCAAGAAGCAGTTGCCGTGTTTTTTTAGTATCTTTCTGCTGCGATTGGGGAGTAGACTGCGAGTCGCTATTTGGTACAACATCCATATCGATAATTTTACGTGGTGCAGTTACACTACTAAAATGAAGTTTGCCCAATGAATTTTCAAATTGAGCTGGCGTGTATGTTGATCTTGAAATGGTCTGAGGTGGGTTTGCCTCCCAATCTCTATAACAATAAAAAAAAAAGATAAATCAAGAACATTATGAATTTTACAATTCCAAAAAAAAAAGATAACAATATTCCTATAGAAATGAATATTCACATGTTGTTTAGTGCAAAGTATATTTTGCGATTACATTATTACATGATATAAGTAAAAAAAAATAATTCGCAAATATTAAAAATCTATATAAATTATATAAGATAAAATATAAATCTATATCAACTTATATAAGAAATATAAGAACTTTGCTGCGTACCTGTGATCTCTGTGATATCCGTTGTTGTTATGGTGCTTCCTATCTTTTTGTTCTTGATTTGCATGTTGTTTATTCTGTCTATCACAGAACACAGTATAATAATAGTCATCGATATACGGTTGAATTGTATTCAATTGTAACAGTTGAATATTAATTAACCATTGCTTTTCACGACTACTCATAAGACCTGCATATTCATCATACTCTCCTGAAGCATTCATACCATTAATGCTCGGAGGGTAATGTTGATTATGATAATGTCTTTGATTACTTCTGTCATGACTGCGATGAAGATACTGATTATTTTTAAAAAACGGTTGATGTCCGCCTTGTTGCTCGTTATGGTGATAAGGTCTATTCTGGTTTCTCTGATTGCTTGAATGTGAGTAAGAATGTTGATGTTGTTGATGGTTGGTTTGATTATTAGAAAATGGAGGCATCATGTGATCTGGCCGAAGGAACTGTGGACCTCCTAAGTTGGGATGTGGCGGTTGCTGAAATTCAATATAATGATGCACCAATAACGTGAAAATATTTCCCTGTAATAATTATATGCACAATTTGCGCGGTAAACTTACAGGAAATCCATAGGAGCCGTGAAGAGTTTGCCTTTGTACTGTGTGTGGCAACATTAAATGCGGTACAGGATAACGTAACATATTTCCAGGTTGATCTAATGGGAGGGATAAATAAAACATATATAGGAATATCTATGAAATATGTTTACAGTCGCTGATTTCCAAAATGTCATCCATTTTATAGTTATTTGCGCTAATATTCCATGGATAAAAGTGCATTTAATATACGACATCTTTTGATATTGGAATAATTAACATGAAGCTAATTCGTGATAATGTAGTCCATAAATAATAGGAAATATTTGATTAAACTTCTCAAAATTTGTTGACTCGTACTTTGCAAATATATTCACAAATAAATCTAATAATAAATCAATATAATAGCACAATATTATATTAGTGCGATAATAACAAATATACTCACTAAGTAGTAATCTAGGAGGTGGTATAAATTGCGGAGGTGGTCTCACGTTAGGTAAAACCATGGGATGCGCTCCGGGTATGCCCAATCCCGGTGGAAAGCGTAGCGGTGGAGGTAGGCCATTAATTTGAAGTTTCTCATTCAAAGACAAAGCCTCAAAGAGAAGCGAACCCTCAGGCTTCTTCTGCTGTTGTTGCGTTTGTGGTTTACTGAGACCTGGTGGCGGCCTATTTGCAATGAGCCCTCTTTCCAACTCTTCCACTGTACAGGCATTTTTTAAGTTAGTTGGCAGAGATAAACGGGGACGAGCTTTGGGAAGAGATAGGTCAGAAGGGCTACTCCATACGCCGGGACGTGGAACTATTCCTACTTTGTCATCCAATACCAAATGCGACAAATTATCCCGAATATCTATGTTAACGCCATTCTGCAAAGGATATAAAGTACACGTAAAAAACATATAATATATTTAAGTATTTATTTATTTAAAGGAAAGATGTAGATATTCTTTTTTATTCTATGCATTTGTTTGTTAAATATTATTATTTATCAATCATTCATGCTATGATAAAGAAAAAGTCAAAATTCTGATTGCACAATAAGGTTCATATACACAATTTATCACACAATAGTTCTATAATATGTCATACAATAGTTCTCAATATTTATATCGTACAATAGTGTATAAGAAACATATTTGTATATCAGTATATCTTCATATATTTATTATATATCCACAATACATATTTTCGTACAAATACCGACATCTATATTACTTTGCAGAAATATGTGACAGCATGTTTTTGCATAGCTGGTGATAATATATCGAGTATATACAGGATATCTCTATAATTTAGACATTAATTCAACATACCTTCTTACTTGTCGTACTCTGATTATGCGGACGACTTGATTCGGTAATTTCGGCGAGTTTTTCATGATCCTTCTCCCAATCGCCAATTGTAGCATCGGGACCGAATGTTTCATCATTCAAGGCATCATATTCTTCTTCTTCACCTAAATCGTCTTCTTCCAGTGGACAATCCAACCCGTCCTCTAAACCGCTATCCTAATTTTAGAAAATATCAATGTAATTTATCCGACAAACGAAAAAACCATGGCAAGCATCCTTGAAAAAGCGCTACAATGAGGTCACAGTTCTTGATACAACGTAATATACTGCTTCATACTGCAAAACACAAGATCCATGGGAATCAAATTTCAATCAAAATAATATGCATAAACAGACAGAAACTCATCGACAAACTCTATTTAAACTTATAGTGCTTGATGTTAATGACCTTTAGGGTAAGGAAAAATTAAAAAGTGAGGTTAGACTGCATAATTTTGCTCTACTTGGAGGACAATACTATTATTTTCAGGAGTAATACGAACAAAATGCGATTCAAGGTAAACCAGTGGGACGAATCGTTTCGCTCTAAAATTATTATATCGAGGCAATAATCAGCGACGGCTTTAAGGACAAAACTTTTACATTTCTCAGTACAAGATACAGGTATGCCGCGACGCGACTGTTTATCAAGGGAGATTTATGTTCGCGTAACTTGCTGGGATTCGCGCCGGTTGAGCGCAAATCTCTCGCGATCACGAGAAGCGTATGTACTTACTCCAAGCGTAGTATCAAAACCGAAAAAAGAGTCTGCCATTTGTGGGAAAGAAATCTGCAAAATAACATGTTCTGATCAAACGTCAAGTACTGCGACGAGCATCAGCTGTCATGGCGGTCATGCGTACACACGGCATTTGTTAATGCTCCCCACTTCCGGTTCAGGTAGTTTAGGGTTGAACGTATCGTGCCGAGATATTCGTATATTATAATCTCAAATAATCAGTCTCGATAATCAATGAAATATGGCACGATACACAAGTGTCCAAACACGAAGCGTTCAACCTGGAGAAACCGTTCGTACCGGAAGTGAAAGTTATTCATAACATCGCGTGTAACTGTGATCTCCTTCACAGAGCCATAAAGCGACATTCACAGTGCATCCGATATCCACTATCCAATAGGGAAATTTGTAATTCAAAAATAAAAATTTATATGAAAACGATGTATGATCTCTCTCACTTGTTTTATGGAATTCTGCATTTATTATCATGACAATCTGTAATGCCACGATACAGTTTTCATGAAACTTAGTTGTTTCTACTTTAGATTTGGACATTCAGTCGGACATATCCAATCATGGCGGCCTATGTCTAGGGATATCCAATCACGGATTACTGTGATTGGATGTGTTTGATTGAAATTATGTGCCTGTAGGACTTTCCCTGAAAATATCATTTCACAAAATACAGTTGAAGACGTTGGTGACTGACTTTGTTGTGTTTTTCTTGTTTGTTCATTTAAAATGGTCGGAAAGAAGACATTAGGGAATCCTTTTCACATAATAAAAGAACAATATACATCATAAAATTTTTTATTTTAAAAAATATATAAAGTTAAAAATAACATTCTTATAATAAGTGTAGAAAAAAAATGTAATTTCAGAACTATTATTTTACTTTTTTCATAATTTCCTATAAGCATCGTAGATGTGTCGGTTTTGAGGCCCAGTTTCTGAAAGCATTAATTCTCATATATTAAAAAAAAATAGTTATTTGCAAGGAAATGTAATAATTTTCATAAGATTATCATTATATTTTGATACAATATGAAATGATTGAAGTATGTTGATTTGCATCCATACACATAAATTTTATTTTTCTATCTTCGACGGAGCTTCAGAGCCCAAAATCAGAATGGTCGGTTTTGGTGTTTCTCCTCTATTTAGATCCCATATATTTGATACTGCACTTTTTCATCGATATATTTAAAATTTCATAATTAATATCTCAGCAACACATAAAGCTACAGGTTGCGGGTCAATGCGGGTTTTACGAAAATTAATTATTCAGATTCTAGATTCGATTCTTATTACAGATATTTCCGTTGCATATACTTGGTACCGCTGAATTATCTCGTAGATCGACTTATTTGATGATAAGATATACGAATTTATTGTAAGAAGGGAGGGAAAGCAATATTCATCAGAGCATTTCGAGGCGTGCACTCTTTATTGCCATTAAATCTCTTTGCATCGTACTACTTTCCGTTGGCTCTTTTTCTCCTCATCCAAATTATGACCCTTAAAATTATCTAATCGCATGCGGATGCCAACGCGTTAAAATAAACGTAATCCATTGTGTTTTTTAAACGCTACTCGTTGCGTGACAGTCCTCAAGTGTTGCTAGGCTGCTGGCCCTCAGTGACGCCAGACTCAAGGAACTATGATTTAAAGTATTCATGCCGTGAGGATCCTCGCAATGCAGGTACAGTCGTGAGCTGACAGATTTGTGGCAGTCGGGACATAAACGTTTTTTCTTCTTGTCGCGTCTTTTCAAGATGTCGTACGCGCATCTGCAATTATTACGAGATAATAAGGGCAAGAGAAATATTCTTCCGGAGGATATCGAACATTCAGTGTTTCGTTTTTAACGTTACACTCGATCGGTCTGTTGATGATTTCTCGTACAAAGATCGATTACCATAACGAATGTCTACGTGAATAAAAAGTCATTGCGAAAAACATCGTTTACGATAACGTCGCGGCGAGGAGCATTCTTCGCGCGAACTCTACCGCACGATTTGTCTCCATTTCCATCCCCAAGAGCAGAATGTAGCCTCGAAGTTTCTCTCCTACCTAGCGTGTAATATGTGAGAGCAAGGTAGCGCTTCCAGGGAATCAGCTTCCAGACCGAAGGGTTCATTACAACTTCCGCATCGTAACTCGAGATCTTCCTCCATCGCGGTCGCCAGTCTCTCATGATGTCCTTTTTGCTCCTCATCTCCCAAAGACCCGTAGATTCGCGACAGTCTGGATCTAACTGTCCGCACCAAGAGCTGTAAGCAGTCAGAGCCTCGTAATCCTCTTCTGAATACACATCTCTCTCACGGAGAATCGTATACGCGTTATATGCTTCCCCGTTGCGCAATCCCTTTCTTTACAGTGCTACTCTACAGCAGCCCACGTTTGTTCCCCGCTTATCATTTAACAACGTCAACCTGAATCCAGCGATCTCTTTTCTTTAATATTAATCCAACGTCATTTTAGCCCATATGAAATCCCAATTTTCCACAATCAAAAGCTACGCTCGATCCATCTCGGAACTTCTTTAGTAGTTCAGAAAAATTGTGAAAGATTTTGTTCATCTACACACTGAGATAATACTTTAGTTTTTCTTTTCGTGTATATTTTTTTCAATTCTATCATGTATGCCAATATTGTAGAAATAGATTGTCGGTAGAATTTGTCTTGCTAAGGGGCAAGTCAATTTTATTGAGGTACATCTTTTAACGGTAGATTTCAATTACTAAAATATGAATAGCATGTGAGCGAAACGAAAGGATAATCAATTAAAGCAAAATGTCACTACGCGGCAAAAAACATTTTGTACTTGTGTTAAAATCGGTCTTTATTAAAACTTTTCTGTTAAATTTTTAACATATCCGTGTATTCATTTAAGATATTGTGTTTATGTTATCTCAATATACATTTTGCGTTGAGTCGATATTCAACACGTGTAAATGTTAAAATAACATTTTATAATTCAGTGTCGGCTTCAGTGTAATATATTATGGATATTAATTGTGTGATAATTTTAACATAATATTTGTTTTATTTTTCAGTATATCAACCTTGTGTTAAATTAACACAAAAGTTTGCGTGGTCCGTTTGGGACATATGAAATGCGTTAAATTAAAAATCGGTTAAATTTAGTGTGTTCTTTACATCGTAAAAAATGCTGTAAATGATCCACTCAAATTTTTGCGCCATTTTAACAAGGTGTATATGTTAAAAAGTAATATAATTAATAAGGTGAATATGTTAATTTAATATATTTGTGTGTTTTTTAATATATTTCAAATATATTAAAGCAAAACATAAAAATTTAGACCGTTTGTAACACACAAATTTGTTATTGTTACAAAACTTTATAGTTATTTTACTGTAATATTCTCTCCGTGTACTTCTATTTCTGCTTGCATTGCGATTTCATACGACAGTATCTTTCCGTTTCCTTCAACGAACGACGAAGCGTCACCGTCTTAATACAGATTTAACAATAATTTCCACCCGAACCCTATCACAATGTCGATAAAGCTGCATACTTTGCACTTTGAGATCAACTTGCACACGTTGCGTTCGCGTTACGTGTGCGCATACACAGCGTCCAAATGGAGAACTGGCTCCATTGATTCGTGGACACAAATAGCGTGAGGACTCGAGATGCACACGGTATGAATGTAGTAATGTATGTACGGAATGCTCGTGCGACGCACCGGTCGCGTAGTAGTGCGCCGATGGCTCTTTTGGCATTTCATTGGAACTCGCGATAGTCATTTACACGCACGGATAAACGTCGACGGCGGAACACGCGGAGCGTCGCTGCCTCTTAATTGAAACTAGTGCGTCGCGTCGCGTTTGCATCTTTCATTTTTCAATCGACGATCCGTTCTGAAAGATCCACTGTCGATACGATTGAAATCTCTACCTATAATTTTCATAATTTATTATAAATAGAGGAGAAGATGGTATTATGACTCCCCATTTACATTTCTTACAATAGCTTTGTTAACAATCAGTATTTTAAATTGAAAATTTAATGATTACATTCGTCGATGTGTTGTTCAATTGATCCTAGACTCAAAGTTGTGAAATATTTATTACTTAGGACGTTTTATAAAAAAAGTGGCAATACTGTAAGTGTTAACCGCTTAATGAATCGAAAGGGAATAGAGGTGATAATGTGACCCTCACTAAAATAGATAAAAAATTAGTTTTGTTTAAGAAAAAAAGTGTTTCGTAACAAATTTATACATTTATTCGAAATAAACTATCTTGGAAGGAACAACAATGAATATATAATCGTAAATTTTCACTGTAGATATTGACTTGTTAGAAGGCAAATACAAAAAAGGAGGACAACTTTTATAAAACAAATAAATAAATAATAATAAATTTAATAAATAATAAATAAATTTAATCTTAGCTCGAGAAAAGTCTATATTAAATCTATTTCAATCGGGGCTAAATTAGCAAAATGCCATGATATCATTTAACTTTGCGTAACTCGAAATGCGTACAACGGGATAAGATATTAAATAATGAACAAGATATTCAAGTATACATATATTCGTGTGATAATGCACATAAGTTTAAAAAGAATGAGGAAGTATGCGTAATTAAATGCTAAAATGTACCACGAAAACGTTTCGAAATGCTCAAAAGTAAAAATGTGTTATAACAAATACGGGCTATCGGCATGTTAGCTTCACTGCGTACAGTGGACTATTAAACAAATGATTCTCTAAATACTCTTTAAGTACCATCTTTTCTTCCCTCTATCACCCCTAATATTAAAAATAAATACATATTATATAATGAATATATAATAATTGAATATTATATAGTTAAAAGAGAAATCGTTGTTTTCTATTTTTCCTTGGAAGGAAACCGAAGAAATCCATGAAAAAAATGAAAGAAGAAAGGATTTTTTCTAAATCTTGAAAACTGTAATATATATTACATCACATACGAACGCATACTACTTAAAATAAGTGAAAGGGAGAGAGGGGAATCTGCTTTCCCTTTGATACGTGCGGCTCGTTCTAAATACCCAACGTGCGAAAAGTTTTACTGCGATTTCCGAAGGCCGAAGAAAAAGGGAGAAAACCTGCAAGTTTTCACGTCTAACGGAAGGAAGGAAATTGATTTCACGGTACGTCGCGTTTTCCTGACTCCCTTTTCCTCTCTCGCTTTCTCTCTCTCTCTCTTTCCCTCCAGTTCCCCCTCTGTTTCTGTTAAATGGAACGAACGATGGGCAGCGCAATCCACGATCTATATTGGCAGTTTACCTTGGCGCCGACCGATCCCGCCACCTCCAGGAGCCTGGTATTGAACTCGAGGGGTCTACAGTTGCATATCTTGTGCTGGAGCCTGAGAGCTTCCAGGCATCTCGCCGCGCCGTCCATCGCTTCCATCTGACACAGCCGATCACCGGTCGCGGCTGCCGAGCCCATCGCGCTCTCGTACTGTCGAAACGCTTTCTGCAATATGTCCATCTTTATCTCACCGGTGTTATCGTCCCGAGATGCGGGTCGACGTACGCGATGCGTCAACTAAAGGCTAATTGTGCGCGCGATCGCCGAACTAAAGGACAGATCAGGTTCGAGAGGCGCCTCCCTCGCGTCCGTGGAAACACAACCGTATAAGCTCCGGAAATGTTCAAAGTCGGAGTTATACTTCATACGTGGAATTCACATCAAGAATTTCTCAGTGTAATATCGAAACGGACGATACAGGGAGGTGAGACGATAAATATTACCGCCGTGAATATCTTCGAGAATCAAACATATATGAACGACTAGATGGAGATGAGAAAAACTTACTTTTGCGGAAGATGTTCGAAGTGATGGACATCGGTATACTTGGAAAAATATCCGAGATCATATCCGATCGGATAATTAAAAAGTAATATATGAGTGTATATCCGAACAAGCGCAATGTTCGATCATTTTGTCATTTCATCCAATCAAGTTGTACTTTTATCCGATGAAAATTACAACGGATATATAAAGGGCGGCTAATTTTTCGGTCAGGTTTAGGTCATCGATGGTTGTATCGAATAACTTCATCGAATACTTTATCGTACAAAGGTATCCATCATTTGATTGTGATAAAAACAATCGGATACAACATTTAATCAGTTTATTCCAGGGACATTTTTCTCAGCATATCAATGCAATTGCTAATCAATTTAGATGAGATTTTCCTGCTATCCTCATATTTCGAAGATATCCGAGGTAATAACAACGATTATTGCCTCACCTTGTATATCTCGTGTTACGCAGAAGTGTAAATTAAGAGGAGGGAACAGAGGAGATATGTACAATCCTCCAATATTTGGAATCGTTTTAAATCGGACGTTTCACAGTATTTTTGCTATTTGCTTTTTAACAGTGTTCAAAAAGGTTTGTAGCGTTAAAACAGGGTGAAAGCGGTATGCGTTGCAAGCGTGACGTAGCGTTAAAATTGCTTTTATAGCATGCGTGACATGCAAAGGAACGCCCCAGTTATGACGATGTTTTTTTTTGTCGTTGATGACAGGATACCGTGTATGACAGTGTTGTATGTAAAATAAGGCTGTGAATGGGCCCGATATAGGGTCACAGCACTTGACGCGTATGCCGATAAAAAAGATTCGCCTATAAAAATGTTTTCTCGATGCAATATGCAAATAGATATATTGGCGTTATTTCCCGTGGCGACTATATTCCAATGTTTATATAAACATACGCAAGAGAAAAGAGAGGAGATATTTATTGTTCTCCATTTTTCTTGCATGTGATGTTTATAATTTATATTTACACAAATTAACATGATCGATGATAAACACGGAAAAATACGAGATAACGTTGTTATACTATAGAGGAATTTTACTACAACTGCCATCGCGAGAGATACGAGCAGGGGAAAACCGTAACAGTAACTTATGGCGAACTTACATTTATGTCGGACTTCTTCCTGTAAATGTCTCCCATAATACGGATGCTTCGGGCATAACTGGCTTGATCGCCGGAAACTAGCGACAGCCGCGTCGCTTCCTATACACAATGTACAAGCAATGGTTTCATACAACCGTTGAGCATCCGTATTATAATAGCACCGGTTAATTATTGTAATTTATTTTGATAACATTTGCAACATCTACGACAACTTTCGCGAATTGTGCGTGACAGAACGCACGATACTCCGGCGAGCATCCGGGCGTTCGACGAAGGACTGAATAAATTGTCGCGATTAAACCCTATGTTGCGAAATTAAAAAAAATTACATATACATATATACACCGTCCGTGGAAAAGTTTGCGATATACTCGTGACACGATTCGCTCGAAGTCGTTCGAGGAGGCGAAAGTTTCCGTGGCGATTCCATATCTTTGATCTCTAAGCAACGTAAGTTTTCCTTCCCGCGCAATTCTCGCTCGCAACTTTACCGAACAGTAATCGTGAGCGTCGCCTAGCTCGCCCTTTTTCCGCAGCGCCGCGGCCATCTGTAATAACGCCGCCCTGTGATGACGGGAATTCAGATCTCCCAGCTGTAAACTTCTGGAGAGATCGTAAGCTCTCGCCGCGTATCGCGCACTCTTGTCCGCGTCCTGTAACCTACAGTAGAGCTCCGACAGGCCGACATATACCTGAAAAAGAAACCGAATTATCAGAGTAGGCGGTTCTCGCGTCACGAGCGGACTAGTTGGAGGAGAAACCATCGCGGAGAAAATTTCCACGCAAGTCCTTATCTGAATATATTTCACGAGGGAGAAGAGAAGCATTTATGAACTTTTCTCTCGAATCTTCTTTTCTTCGCCACATTACGAGTTTGCGATAGACATCTCCTTATTTCGCGAAAGCAAGTATGCAGAAGATACAAAAGTGACACGGTTTAATAACGACATGGCATTTCCTTCAAATTGCATTAACATTGTATCACTCGATACGGATAGTAAATAAATGAAAAAAAGGAGGAAAAAAACTAAAAAAGTGCTACCGTTCAAATAATATTTACTTGATCCAAGTAAAATGATTACTCTAATATTTCTTGGCAGATATTTATTAAAGAGAGAGAGAGAGAGAGAGAGAGAGAGAGAGAGAGAGAGAGAGGGAGGAGTATAATTGAAAAAAATATAATTGACTATATACAATAATATTTACTTATATGTATTAAAAAAATTACTACAAATATTACGACAAGTATTAAATTCATAATATTGTGAACATCAGAATTTATTTTTTGGGAAACATTTACTGGATAGAAAAATTTAAATTTAAAATCAATAGATTTCTTCAATGGAAAATAATTATTATATAATTCTAGTAAATATTATCTCAAATTTAGAACTATTTTACACTTATATTCAGTAATTCATTTACAAATTAAGGTATTACTGTGTTCAAATAAGTATTTATTGCAAGCTGTTAAAATATATTTGAATTGATAAAAATATTACTTGATTTAAAAGGTTGAAGAACAGGCAATTATGTTTATTTGATTCTAGCACTTTTTTCTTCTGTATAGATATGTTATAAAATTGCATTCCACAAAGACAAATTATTTATTTTACTTATTTTCGTTACGTAATGTTTAATTCTGGCGTCCTCTGACGTTTTGTTATACACTCTAGGGAGTTACCAACTTCCCAGAGTGAAATAATATATTCTATTCTCTAAGCTCTAAACAGAGGAAGCCCAATTTGCGATATTGTTTAGAACACTAATCACTGAAAGGAGAACCCACGTGTTCGAGAGTTCGGAAAGTTTGGTACACACTGTAAATGGATTAAAGATGTCATTAACTGATGGCTAACTTGATAACGCGGAGAAGAAACGGGCAAGGCGGAAATCGGATTTTCCAAGAGCGTGACGCGGTTTTCCTAATCGTTTTACACCGCCTGTTAATTAGCAAACGTCACGAAAATAATGCACGGCGCTTGACGTGCTGGAGCGAAAAAGAAAAAGGCAAACAAAGAGACCTAATTACCTGCAGTTCTAAGGAGGGATCTTGAATGGAGTGGGCGATTTTGTGGGCTCTCTGAAACGCTTCCAAGGCTTTGCAGAATCCCGCTAGCTCTAAGTGGACTCTGCCTACGGTTAAGTGAACTAATCCAGCTGTGGCGCACTGATCACACTCGTTATACAAGCTGCGTGGATGCAAAATCATAGACATCATTAGATCCCGAGATACACACATACATATACACACAGAGATAGTCGATAAAGGCATTGTCGACAACTGGTGTTTCATACATTCATCTATCAATCATAGTCAACTCTATTTCCCCGAATTCCGAATTGCCATCATTAATCTTACAATCGGAAGTACATCATCAGAAATATTTTATATTGTATACACTGAGGGAAAAAATGCCCAAGAAATAAAAAAAATATATTTATTCGGTGGATAATAATAACATATTTATTTTTACTAAAATATACATATAAAATATACATTTGGTGAATAATAACAACATATTTTCTTTTATTAAAATATACATATATAGAACAAACAAACGCTTGTTTTCATATATAAAGCTACAGATTTAAGAAACTGTATATATTTTTATTTGACAAATTTCTTTTCGGTGTAAAAATATACATACTGTATAAGTAAATATGTCATTAGTATCCACTAAATAAATATTTTTTTATTTTTTAGGTATTTTTTTTAGATGTTTTTATTTTTTAGATATTTTTTAGATATTTTTGCTTTCAGCATATATGTGACTTCTCGAACAAGTGTTGATATACTAAGACTGCGGAAAGATATGAAAGATGTTCAAACCTGTGTCGGGCGTAATCTAACGCTCTATCCAGGGCACCTAACCTCTCGTGTGCTCTGGCTAAGTTCAAATACGCTTCCGCCCGCATATTCGGCGAGTCCAACTCTTCCGAAATGCATAATTGCTTGTGACCGAACTCGATGCTGTCCCTGAAAGGGAGAAAGTCACGCGATGGAATCGAATGGCGATAACATCCTCGTAAAGGCTTGTATGTAAAAGTGAGATAAAAAAGAAAACGCGCAGGTTGAACTTGGTTATCCCCGTGAAAGATAGCAACAAATCGAGGGAAAACCGGATAATTAACGTTCCATTAAATTCACTTTTATATTATACAACAAATACAGAAGATTATACTTTCTACGATGCGATATGTTTTCATTTTATCTGATCTGCTTGAATTAAACATTTTTATGATTTCAACATAATTTTCGACGCTGCAGCTTGGATTGCGCGTTGAAAATGCGTGTATGGAATTAGTTATTTCTAATACTAACGTGAGAGACAATTTTGTCTCGAGTAATAACTATTATGTAACGTATAGTACTAGTGCATAGTACTACATAATAATACTGGAAAAAATACTGTTAAATCATTAGAATTTTTAACAGAGCGCAATTGGAGTAAATCTTCTTGATTCAATAGCGATATCATTGAAACTAATATTTTAATTATCGAAACAATGCGTAACATAGTGGTTTTAATGATATTTGCTACTGAATAAGATTTACACTGCTGTCGATAGTTTTATTGATTTAACAACATTTCTTCTCGTGTACGCGCGTTTTTGGAAACAGTAGAAAGACGGATTAGTATTTGATGCGTTCGTGACATAAACCATGGCCTGGGCAATCGTAGTAATCGTGTTGCTCGTGTTGCTCGTGTTGCTATTTAAATTTTCCATATTGCCTTGAAATTGTCCCGACTTTATAAGTATATATCCTAGCCAAGCAAGACTACTACGGTACACTTTTGGTTCATGAATGTTTATATCTTTGAGAAAAATTCTCTGCGTATATCCAAAGCAGTTGTTGCAGTATCCAATGATTTTTAATCTCAAAAGAAATATTTGCTTGATTGAATTCGTTTTAAAATTTATCGGCGTGAAAATATTGCAACTTTTCTTCCGCCGACCGTGTATATTTTGTTCAAAAAAGTTCACACATACTCTGTATAGTCATGTCATTTTTCTAAATGTTACATGAAAAAAATTAGCATTAATTCAAGACTCATATTCTCAAGACTCATATTCTCACATATAAACAAGGATTTATTATTTTGTACGAAGATAAAATTTGTCTACATGAAGAAATTCTATATAGAAATTCTATATTTCTACTAAAAATATTATATTCTTGTTATTTAAGAATAATTTTTATGCAGTGAGAGAAAAAAATATTAGATAAAAGGATTGAAATCTTCAAATTGGTAAAATTCTTATTTTATTGACAAATTTCTTCCCGTATACGTGTAAGTGATTTCAATCTGTCATGTTAGAATCAACGCCCGAATGAAAGGTCATGCTTAGTTAATGCATAATTACAAAGGTCTGGTTGAAAATCGTTTGTTGGTATCGGGTCGGTGTCGAAAATCTGACATTTAGTAATGACCCGATATACAGGGCCGATCGTAAAATCCTTTTACTGGAAATCCACCTGATCTGCTTCTTCCCAAATCCAAACAGACAGTACAAACGGAAACACGGCGGAATACTCTGCGGTATTTCGCAGCTTTATGCTATAAAGTACCTGTATTTGCCCCAATCCATATACGCCTGATACAGATATCCTAGAAGAGTGAATTTATCCTCGCGGTGTCTGATGCTCTTCAATGCGCCCCTCCATTTTCTAACCGCGGCCTGTTGTTTATGAGCCCGGTACAATTTCAGACCTTGCTCCACCTGAGGCACACGAAATAACAATTCCGGCGCAATTCGTGCCCTAATTTACAGCTCGCCGTCGATCTAGTAGATGTAACGCGCATATATATAACGTGGACGTATAGCGCGTACACGACGGAACGCAGTTTTTCACGAGGGACAACAAGAGACGCGTCGCGTCGAAATGCGATAAGTTCGTGTGGGAAAAAGACCACAGGATGGAAAAAACTGTAAATTATGCACATGTTGAGAGAAATCCTACTAAAATTACAGTCATTTTCAGCACTTTAACTATATCTTCTTCTAATTTTAAGGCTTCTGGTCCTTTGCTGCAGTCGTCTTTGATGACGTCATGAGCGAGAAAATGTATATCTAAAATTCTTACGAAATATGTTGAAATAAAAGGATATGTGATATTTAAAATTACACTTGTGATCGATTGAGCACATTTGTAAAATATTCTGAAAACTTTTCTTTTACCCTAATAATTAATAAATAACTGCAAAATTAACGTAACATGGAACCTTCCTTTTTAGCCTATTTTTCCTCACAACTTTGTCACGTTCATTTTATAATTATTTAATGAGTGTTAAAATGAAAAGAAAATTTCTGGGATATTTTATAAATATGCTTAATTGATCACAAATAGAGGAAAAGCACCTATATGAAATTTTATATTTGGACTCAAAGCCTTGTTGAAGGTATAAAATTAAAATTTATGTGCATGGATGGAAATCAGCGATAATTTCTTATGAAAATATATGATAGCCCTCTGAAAATTATTATATATTTTCTTGCAAATAACTATTTTTTATTAAGGATTGATACTTCTGGAAACTGGGTCTCAAAACCGACATACCCATGATACCTATAGAAAATTATTCAAAAATATAACAATATATAAAGAAGAACTGAAATTACATTGTTTTGTATATTTATTATATCCTTANATTTTATGTATATGTTATTCTTTTATTGTATGGAAAGGAATCTCTTGAATTCTTTTTTCCGAACATCCTAAACAAACAAACAAGAGAAAAAGAAAAAAAAGGGAAAAATCAGTCACTGATATTTTCAATTGTATTCTGTAAAATAATATTTTATAGCAAAATTTAGATATGTCGATTGAAGAATCAATAAACTCAGATATGTCGGTTTACAGAACAACCAAACCTTAATTTTTTTTGCGTGGTTCAGTGATAAAAAATAGAGATTGACACAAAGTCCAAAATGATTCAAAAAGCTTAAAACTCATATAATAGAATAGAATTGTCTAGTATGTGTAAGTAAATTACTTATCGCTGATTTGTTATTTTATTTTCTACGAGAAGGAAGCTCAACAAAACTTCAATACAACGTAAAAGTTAAATTACGCTAATAACACAATCTAACGTGTTTGCAAATTGAAATTACCACTTCAACTCCAACTACTTTACACAGTAGATGAAATTCACGTTCTGTCTGACAGAGTTTAGTACTTTATAGCCGAGAAACATGGGTTTGTCAGTTTATCTATCAGTTTTGGTCGATTTACTATATCTATCAGCGCACGCGCGCGCGTGTATATATGTAAGTGAATGAGTGAGTGAGCGAGTGTGTGCGCTTTTCCTTTATCATTTTATGCTTTATGCTTTTATTTCGCAAGAATTTTTGGCGTACGTTTTTTCGCTTTTGACATCATTAATCAAGATGATTACTTAGGAAACAGGAGCTTGACCCAAAAAATAGTAGTAACAGTATGCATGTGTAATAACTGATATTATAGGAATAATTATTAGAAAAATCGTCTTCTTGGCTACGTTTTCATTTATCATTATAGTTACGAATGCCAAATTTTTTTTGTCAGTGCAAGTTCATCGCTTTACCTAAAATTACGCGTTTTTGTAAAATGTTCCGTTTTAACACATCATTTCCGCGCAAGTCCTTGAATTCCGCGCCGGTCGCGCGCACACCCCGTGCTTTTTATCCGATATCCCATGTACTTCCTCATGGTCAATCATGGTCAGAGGCCGCACGGCGGACCTTGAAATCGATGCTCATGAAGTTGACATTGAGCTAGTCCCAGCCCTCTCGAGCGGAGACGCAACGTCCAAGAGCGCATGTGCATATCGAGGAGGAAGTCGCGGAAGAGCTATTAATACGAGCAATATTAATAGCCAGTAATCCTTTATTGCAAAGCCCATTCTACGCGATTTATCGCGTGACTTTGCGAAATTTGACACGCGCCGCGCCGTTACCGTACGTGTAATTCGGTGAATAATCGAACTTTAAAAAGTCCTCCCTTTCTGCAAAATCACAAAACTAAGCTCTGTATTCCCGAGAATAACGAGGACAAATTAACCGACAACGGCAAGCACAGAACAAAAATCTCCCTGCGCAACGTATGTGTGTGTGTGTGTGTGTATGTGTGTGCGTGCATAATTCATTATATATTCCGAGCAAATTGAGCGTCAAATTCAGAATTTTGTGTCACCGACCGCTGAGTTTTACGTTGACCGCCTAGTCCGCGCGTTTCAAATTTAATTTCCTCGGAATTACTACTTGGCGTGGGTAAATTAATAACGCAAACACACCGCGTCGTGCAATTACCGGGTCGCGCGAAACGGGCTTTAGATGATAGGTGATTGCGCCAGGAAGAGGAGAGAGAGAGAGAGAGAGGTCGAAGTTGCGATACGCGTGGTGGTGCTCTTTATTACGCAGTAATAGCCCTAGCGTAGATAATGCGATGCATACGAGCCGCCTGGCCAGGAGGCCGTGTATCGATTCGACCCTGAACTTTGCCCCCGGCAGATTCAACTCTACGATAAAATATAAATATAGCTATATCTTGAGGTACGTAAAAATGTATTTGCGCGTGCGAGCGCGTACGACCGACACAATAATTCCTGCGCGGCGGAACGTGGCGGAGATCGAATGCGATATCGCGTATCTCACCTGATTCGCCATAATCTCGGCAGCGAGCTGTCGAGAGGAACACCATCGACTTGGGGATACAAAAAGTGTCCTCGAAGGAGTCGCCAATCACGCGAGTGGGTCGCGCGAATATACATAATAACCGCTCTCCGCGAAACCTCGCGTTCGTAATTGTTGGCGTGTAATAAGCGCATAGGATTTTTAATGTTACAGCCTTGACATTATTATGACATTAATTTTTTCGTGCGCTCTGTGCAACACGCGACGCTTCATAATGGAAATCAGCAACTTCGCGAGCGAGAATTCCGAGTGTGTAAAAGCGTAGATATTCTGCGCTCGTCGCTCGTCGATTGATTGGGTGAAGGGGGGGGGGAGGGGGAGGCTTCGAGCCGCGCGCGGATTTTCCTCCGAGACGACGATATCAATCTCCGAGGGCTTCGCCAAATAAGTAACTACCGTGCCCCGGCGCGTAACTTCGATGAAAACGTAAATGCAAATTACGCTCGTTACTATGTAAAGCAGACATCATGGATCAACTGTCAGACGCGGAGCGTGAACTCATAAGTCTCGCAAGGTGAAATGTATTCGGGACGTTAAGCACGGTACAACAAGTACTTCGGTTTTAGTGGTTACGAAAGGATAGCGTGACCGCGGCTACGGCATGCACATCGTGAACTTGACAGTGACCGATAAAGCGTGCTCGCTCGCGAAATACGCCTCGTTATGTAGCCGTCATGTCCTTTTGTTGCTTGAGAGGCCCTTCAGATACTTGTTTGACATATTACACCTCGAGCTCTTTTTATGCGTTAAACCCCGATGGCGATGCGTTTGTTTAAAACCGCTTCGAGAATGCCCCCCCCCCCCATCTCGAGCTACACTGAAAGAAAAATATTTGGCATTTGTAACTATAATCGTCATAGTGAAGAAAGAAGTCGAGAGAACCATTTTTCTAGTATGTGTTACTCTAGTGTCAATGATAATAATGTTATATATGCATATTGATACTGCTATTTTGTACACTGAAAGAAAACAAGGTGCTACTATTCAAGTAATATTTAAGTAATATTTATTATATGTATTCAGGTAATATTTACTTCAAAATTGGTAAAGTCCAACACTCCTTGGTAAATATTTATTAGAAGTAGAAATATAATTGACTACACTTGTACTTTTTTCTGTGTGGTTTAAACTATGAAAATAATATAGTTGAGGCCGAATATAATTATTATTTCTCTCAGCGTAATATTCGGAGTGTTTTTCTTTTTAATAAAAGCGATTCATTAATAAAACGATATTTGAATCGCGACGAAATGTATCCCGAATTCTGTTGTTCGAATTTCTGATGTTCGTTGAATCGCGACGAATAATTGCAATGTCGGGTCTTCCAAACGATACTTTTCAAAATCCACCGCACACGTGCATAAAGCAGAGAAATAGATTAAACAAATATAATATTATATCCGTTGCGAAAATGCAATGTTTACATTTCTCTGATATTCCGTTTAACCGCTTATATACAAAATCAAAGGAAACCAGCGTAATTTCGGTAGAGAAAAGATTTTGCGCATTCGTCGTATTTTCCACTATTTCTGTACCTACCTTTACGCTTCCGTTTTGTTATTATATACTTTTATAATTTATACTCGAGACTTTGCTTAACGAATTTCAACGTCGCACAATATCTCGCAGCGAGCCTCTTGTAAGTAGAAGCTCATCTTTACTAAATCCAACTATCCGTTTCAACTTATCCGAGAGAATTAAAGAGAGAGAAAGAGAGAGAGAGAGAGAGAGAGAGAGAGAGAGGGAGAATAGATATATAATGAAGTACTTACTCTCCTTCGAGCTAATTGTTGATCGAGCCGTTTCCTGCAGCCTATGAGACACTCCCAAATACCAGTGCCCGACCTACCATTTTGGTAATGGCCGTTACTACCGTTGCCGTTCTGATTTCGGTAATCCTCTTCGGAGAAGTCGCAAACGTCGAGCGGATGCCTCGATCCATCGGGGCTACCCAGCAGCTCGGTCGCCGAGAGCTGATGACTCGCCGATCTGTGGTAAATTTTTCAAACGGTGCTTGGAATTAGTTGCGCTCGCGAAGCGATTTTCGCGGACATCGCGTCTCACACACACACGCACACAACACACACACACACATATACTTTCTATCTATCTATCTATCTATCTATTTATCTATCTCTACTACATTTTGTCATTCGCGTCTTAACGACGAGCTGTTTGATAGCTCATAGTTAAGAGCCACGAAAGAAGCTGTAAGCTTTCTTACGCGCCCTCCTCTCGGTTCATAAATCATTTCGAGTTTGGCTAAAGAAAGTAACGGTAATTAGGAGAGCCGTGGTGAGGAAAATTAATTGGATTCCGCGCTGCTTCTCGAACATATCGCGAATCCGATATTTGCCGTGGGATCGGAGAGGGGGGGGGAGGGTGACATAACCACTTGTCTTATAAATAGCGTGGAATCATTAAGGGCCGACGGTTATTTAATGTCGCTTTACATCTATCATCGGCTATTTAAAGTTGCTCGACGCTCGATACTAGAGGTCGATTCGAGCAGCCGGTGGAATTTCATGCCCTCCGTGAAATCCGATGGCAAGAATTTAAAGAAGGCGGTGCGGTATTTTCACAACATCGATCGCGTCTAAGTTCGCGGGAATCCTGAAGTTGTGCCTCGCGCCCGGCTGATTTGTACTCTCGATATGACAAAGTAGAATCGTCGCTGTCGTCTCCTTGGTATTCGCGAATACCTAATGCACAGTCGTGCCCGCCCGTAATTCGGCAGAAATCACCCTATCGTGCATTACGAGCGTGATTCGGGAGGGAATTTAACATTCTACAGTAGAATAGTCGATCCCGTCGAATGTAAGCTTCGGCACGACGCTATCAATTCAGCTTCTTCTTCTCCCCGAAACATCAAACGCCCCGCGCGATCGTAGTTCCGCGGAATGTCCGCGAGAATGATCGCAGCATCGTTCCGGATGTAAAGTATCTGCCGTCCCGGTCGATATTTTGTAAACCCGTGTCAAACACCAGTGTCAGATGATGGATGTGGGCGACTGACCTCCTGCAGGGGTTCGATGTGCGCAGACTCTTAATTTATTTCCAGGACGAGCGAAAGGAGCACGCGGAGATAAACCGCTTTTGGCTGCCGTCCCAGAGGTTGAGTTTGCAAACTGCGCGTTAGGGAAGTTACAAGGTATACGGGGTGTCCCATCCTTGTCAGGTTACTTTTCGCTTAGAAATTCTCGGACTGGAATTCCAGTCGAGCCTTCGTTATCGAATACACCGCGCGATCTTTCAAATATACGGTTCTTCAATCTCCGATATTAATCGTCCCGATGACGAAATCTTGAATCAAAGTGCCGCTGGCTTGAAACGTTTGCACGGAATGAAATAACAACGAGATCGATAGTCCCGCTCGCGCCTTGAAAAGTTCATTTCTGGAAAAGCTATTCTTTTGATTGTCCGTCGTTTGAAAACTGCCGTGTTTTATTTTCACGATGGAAAAATCGATCTCGCGTCGACGGGAACGTACGAGCGGAAATCTAGGTGGTAAAGTGACGAGATACGTGTGGGGCACCCCGTAGCGTCAGGGGCACCTATCTACCTACCCTACCTTACCCTACCGCAATACGATACCCGCGTAATATATTGCCGGCCGAGAAAACTGAAATTTATTTATATTTCGTTTCTCGATTCCAATCTGTGCCGCGGCGAAATGTCCCGTTAGGTCTGCTTGTCATCAACTACATCGTTCGTCTTTTGTACGGCAGCGCATGAAACGCAAAGGGGCGCGCGATGTATCTTCTACATTACTCCACGTCTATACGCCATACATATAAGTTTCACATCGCACATTCAACGAAAATATTATTCCAACGTATTCGCCCCCTTTGTAGCGCCGCTTTCTTTCGAGAGGAAGACGGTTACTTTTGTAAATAGTCACTCTCGACGTATCCGTTTTAAAATAACAGTTTCATCCAGCGTCGCCCGTGCGCGCTGATATGAAATATCCCAAACACTTTTACGGTAGCGGGAACGATGATGTCTCTTTAAAGTAAGAGCGAGTCCGATGCATCCCCTTCGCGAAAGGGGATTTCGTAAATAATTGCTCATACATTCTTTCTCGTTGAGCGGCGTTATCAAAGCGAGAGAGTTAATTGGTGATCATTTCGCGTTAGGGTTAATTAAAGCGCACCACCGTAGGAGAAGGTCTACCTCGCGCACTCTGACACTTGATAGAAATCCTGCGGGAATCGCGGCTCCGTCGCAAATTACTTTCTACCCACGCCAAGGTTTCCCCCAAAAACAGCCGCGTGCTGTGTAGGCGCGCGCGTAAGAGCGAACGAGCGTGTACGTTTGTGCGAGTGTATGTATGTATACAAGCGCGTATCGTGTAAAGCGAAGAGTATACGACACTCTATCGCTTTCCCACCACGTTCGCTAGGTGGGCGAGGCACCTGCGACCTCTTTTGCTGACCCATTTACGAGCTACGAGATACGGTACGGCGTTGCGATTCTAAGTGGAAAATCGAACTATCCCCGAGCTCTTCCACGCGTCGTGAGCGATTAACGAAATACGAAGGCGCACGATCTTGTCGAGACTCCCCTGAAACGTACGCGCCTTTCACCTCGCTGCAACGTCTCCTTCTCGTTTAATCGCGCGTTAATTTTACGTTTCAAGTCGCCCGGAGGACGCTCCTCCAGATGGAGCTTTGCATGAAAATTGCTTCCGCGAATTTACGGCGAAAAAAGTTGAGGGATTAGGCGCGTTTAAGATATATATCCTCCTCTCGAAAGTACGAGTGGCGAGGAGTTCGCGGGAGGAGTTGAAATTTTGAGAGGGTTCTCAAAACATCCCCTCTTAGTTGCTTATCTCCCCGTCTCTGAACTTAAGTACAAGTGGCAACTTGGGAGGAGGGGCGCGACGTTTGGCGTGAAATATCGAAATTAAGTCTCGTTATTCTCGCGCGATTTTTTACGCCGCTCGCAGCCCCGCGAATTTTTCACGATCGCTTTCGACGTTGCATTTATTTTCGACACGTTAACCGTGAGCACGCTTTGTGTGTGTGTGTGTGTGTGTGTGTATGTGTGTGTTTGCATGTGAAAATAGCAATCGTATAAATCATCACGTTCACAAAAAATATATTCATTAGACCAGTCCAATTTGTAGATTGGTTGCACTCCGAGCGGAAAACCACGGAAAAGGACTCGACTTCAGCGGGGCATAATGCCGACACTTTTCAGCATTAACCCGTTTCTCTCACTTTTCTATTTGCCTGTGTAGGTGTACGTGAAAAGCGCGCGTTTCATTTCCTATTTCTCTCGGAAAGATACGGTACCTTTTATTGTTCCAAACACACGTCCGGTGTACTTGTTAAACGCGTTTGTGTAAACTCCGCTCTTTTGTGTAACCTACAGCCGTTCTTTCTTTCGCCGATGAACGTGTTAATGATTACTTCGCCGCGCGCAGCGTGTATTAATTAAATATAATAATTGTAAACGGAACGGAGCCAACGAAATTAATAGTATAATAATTTAAAGTAATATTCCTTTTTCTTCAATATCACGTGACAATCAATAATTGCAAACAATGGGTCAAACAACAAATTCCGGATATCGAGTAACGACAGAAGACGCAGGTGAAGGCGATAAAAGAAACGAAGAAGGCGGATGCGTCCTTTTCTGTTAGTAGGAACTATTGAAAAACACGAAATACCTTCCAACCATTTTCATTTAATGTCGCGTTATTTACCCCATTTTGCACTTCTACGCGATTAACAGCGGACCGATGCCGGAATTTGCGCATCCCGCGAATCTGTCCCGTCGAACCGAAACGATTTCGTCGGCGAGACTCTTATTTACACGAGCGTGCAAACTGCAGGAACGGATTCCCGCGTACTTTCTCGCAATTTTCTCGCTTCTGACGTCATGAATCGAAACGCGACTGGCGTAGGTGTCTGCGATCCCTCATCCATTTCGCGCTCGAGACGATTAACGTTACGTCCGATGACCGATGCGAAACGAGAAAGTAACAATTGTACGGCGTAGATTATCTTTTCACTTTCGGGTCTCTCGATAATCAACGCTCAGTCCTGTGAGATCAATTAGAGAGGATACGACAACACATGGAGAAGAGTAATTCGCTGGCAAATTTTATACTATCGCAGCAAAATCTGTCCGTGTAGACAGCAAAACGATTTATTGAGAGTGCTAATTGCCATTCGCTTGATATATATTTCGCTGAATTTACAAATTATTTCGCTGTAAAGACAAATTAGTAGAATATAGGAAAGCGCTATTTTTTGCTTCCGACAGCAAATGAAGACAATCTCACCGAGCACCATTTTTCCATCCCGGCGACACCGAAACTGTTTCCGCTCTAATAACGAATAACCCGCTAATCTGGTTACACCGAAGCTAAATTTGATCGCTGTCGCGACGAATATGCACAGCGTCGGGAAAAGTTTCTCGTTGGCAAATTATTTTCCACCACAGTGACAGCAAGAAGACCTGTTAAGAACATTAATCGCTAATTATGCCAAGTAAATCTTGCTGCTGTCGCAACGATGCTCTGCTACGTCAGCGGGAAATTATTTTTCCCGCGTAGCAAGTCTTCCGGCTGTCACCGTAGTGACAAACAGTTCGCTGTACCAGCGGGAAGAATTCCTCCGCGCAGCGACGACGGCAAGACGGCGGAATGATTTTTCCCCGTGTGCGAACTCACGCAACCACGTCTCCGGCCGTCCCCTGCTGCTCCCCTTCCCACCGTCCGTGGGCCCGCTATTTTCGGGGTAAACAACAATACTTGCCCGAGGTAATACCTGGACGAAATAGACTCCCATGACATGGCTGTGCGTCTTCCTTGGCTGAGCGGCTTCTTCCCTCTGCCCCGTGGTGCAGCGGCGTTTTCTTCGCGCTTTCTCTTCCCGGTGCTCTAATCTCATCTCTCGCAGCCGTCAGCATCGTCCCGCTCGCGCACCCGCGTGAGACAGGGCATATCACTTCCTTGCTTGGCGAACGTCGCAACGCGCGATCGCGCCGAAACAACCCGATGCAACGTGCGTCGGCTCGAGGCCCTAATCGGCCGCATTCGCGATCGATCCCGAGGACAGATACCCGAACCGCTGTGCTACGTTGCTGAGGTATCGAGTTCTGTCTAGCGCGCGCACCACGACCGCAGCGGCTGCTCTCGCGAGGATCGAGCAGCGATCAAGATTCGCGCGCGCCCGTTCGATCGCCGACGATCATCTCACGAGAGTTCACACAGCCGGAGACGCGAATCTTACGGGAAAGAGAGACGACGCACTTGCCGGGGGCCCAGGAGACGCTAATTCGCGAGATGCGACGTCGTCTCGTCCTCGAGGAATGCGGCGACGCGTCGATCGGGCTCTCTCTTTAAGTTTCTAGGACTTTCAGTTGGACGACTCGCCGAGCGACTGTGTTCGATTCTCTTACTCTCGGCGATCGTCCGAGGATGCGCTCGAGAAAGCGGGGGAGAGGGGACTGAATTCGCAATGCCGATAGTCGCGCGCTGAGGTAGATTGAGGAGAGTCCGGGCGCTTCTCGCACCCGGGAGATCCGTGGACAGACTCGATACGCTTATTTCGTACGGCGTACGTCTGCGTGTATTAAACGTAAGTGGGATGCACACCTCGACCGAGAGAAAAATAATTTCCACGCCCGCGTGTCTTTGTACTTAAGTATCTAGTTGAGCACCGTGGACTCGCGCGAGTACTCGCGCGCGCGCGCGCGTATTGACGACGATGGAGAAGTAGAGGGGAAATTCGTCACTCTTCGTTTCGTCTCCTTCTCGTATCCTCGTGGTTCTTTTTCCTCTCTGTTATTTTCTGCCCCTTCTCTTCCCGTGATTTATTTGTATTTCTCTCTAACGTAATTGGCAAATGTCTCGTGGCAGTTTCCTCGATCCAGCCGCACCGCTGATCGACAAGGACTGTGTTCAAGTTTCCGACTCGTTAACACACGTGTATATACAGAGAAACGACCGCTCGAGTCTCACGGTACTTCAAGTGTTTCCGCCTTTTCCCACACTCGCACAACAAATAACCGCTTTTCGTTTTGTTTTCCCGCCCGCGCGGTTCTCTCTCTCTCTCTCTCTCTCTCGTTTTCTTGCCTGTCGTCGCAAGAAATTCCTGCCGTTTCGAGCGTCACCTTTTCTAACGCGTGACCTACACAATCGCACCTTCCGTGCCTGTATCGAGAATTGTCGATATTTGATTATCGAGAATCGCGTAACGTCATATACTATGTAACTCTTCAACGTCGTGATTTAGATCTATGAAGGTTCAACACACATATATAATATTTATATATGCATCTATATAAGAGATGTATTTAAATAGATCTGCAACATGTACTCGTATATATATACATCTAACGGATTCGCGCGGCGGTGGCCCGCGTCGGTGTGCGTATGCGTGTGCGTATGCGGTGTGTACATGCGTGTGCACGCACTTCCCTTTATCGAACGCATTAAGTGGTTTGCCGCTTTACTAAGGGACAACGGAAGGGTTGTCCCGAATGGTTCCGCGTGTCGGACGGTGCTGAACGCTGCTGAATTAACAACAGCGCGCTTTAGCCGCTTCGGGGATCAACGACGAGGGTGGAGGGACCGATCTCACCGGCTGATATCTAAAACCGCAGCTCGTGGAACGAGAGAGCGCGCGATCTACGACCGAAGTTCCCCGACGCGGTGGAAGAGAGAGAGCGCGGCCGACACGATCTCCCGTCGAGTGACTTGCTTCGTCCTTGCACTCCTCAAGGCGCACACCGAGACGGATTCATTCCCTCGCGTGCACCGCGTCTTCAGCACCGAGAGAGGAACGCGGGGCTTTTAATCGCGCCCGAAACTAGGAATCGCGTCGGCCCGCGGTGTCCCAGTTACCGTCGGTGACCCCTAGCGCACTTTTTCTCCTCCCCCCACCCCCCCACCCCCTTCACCGACGAGCCCTCGAACTTTGTGGTGGCGGTGCGAGTGAGATACACGGATTCGCGGGATTTCAGGATCCACGTTGCGTCTCCCCGACTCCGTGTGCCGCCGCTTCCCTGCGATTACGTCGCTCGGATCGTCGCTCGGGGGGAACGGTCCCGTCGGCTTTTTAATTCATTCCCGTCTCGTCGACACGGCGGGATGCGCCACGACGGGCGTAACGGGGACGATGTTTGCGCGCGGGCTTTAGAATTTCGTTATGCTCGCGTCGTTGCGCTCCTGACGACGTCACGTGTCTCACGTGCGCGGATCGGCCGAGTCTCTCTCTCTCTCTTTCTCTCGCGTGAGAGGATCGCGCGATTAAATCGGGAACGACGGTCTCGCCCGGCGCCTCGGCGACTCCCCCGACGACAGGCAGTCAGCGTTCGAATTCGGCGCCCATCGCGCGCCGAGCGCTCGCGTACGACGTTCGAGGGCGAAACAGCGACGCGTAGTAGCAACAGCAACGCGGCCGTTCCCGCTCGCTGACGATGAGACAGTAGCCGTGCGCGCCTCGAGGCGTTTCCTCATGCCGTTGTTGATTGATCCCCCGTCCGTCTCGGCTTCGTGCCGCGATTCGGCCTTGTCCCTCTTCCGCCGCCACCTCCGGCAACCCCCGCCACCACCACCACCACCGTCTTCGTCGCCGCTTCGTCGCGCGCGCGGAACCGTTCGCGGCCGCTCGCTATCACAACGAGGACAGCCGAGGCCGCGACGCGCGAAAGGTTACGGGCGCGCGATGCGGATCGGGTGAGCTCGCCGCCGTGCTCCGCACACCCTCCTCTCCGCTCTCTCTCTCTCTCTTTATCTCTTTCGCTCGTTCCTTCCCTCCCTCTCTCTCTCTCTCTCGTTGCCGCGCGTATGGGGTTGAATCTCTCGCGGAAAGGTACGCCGCGCGCGGGCACCCGCGAAAATCCACCGCCGGTGGCCGGAGCAGAACTGTCGCGCCCGAGCCGCAGCAGCCCGCAACACACGACCCAACCGATCCTCTCCACCCCCGCCTCGGGCTCTCTCCTCCTCGTTCGCCCGTTCGCCACCCCCGGTGGTTCCGCCGCTATCCTCCACGCCACCGCTGCGTCGGTCCTTCTCGCAACCTCTCTCCGGCCCTCCCGTCCTTTTCTCCTTCGCACTCTCTCTCTCTCTCTCTCTGTTCCGCTCTTCTCTCAGCGCGCCGCGCCGCTGCGCGTCTCGCAACCTTTGCCTCCGTTCTCTCTCCCTTTCTCTGTCTCACTCTCTCACTCTCTCCCCCACTAACCCCGTTCGTCCTTCCTCGTTTTCTCATCCTCCATCGCCAGCGCCCCTTCGGTCCTCTCACCATCCCGAGCGAGCCACCCTCCCGCGGCACCGCTGCTTCACCCTCGCTCGCGCTCTCGCCCCGTGTTTCGTCCATGAGCTTCATTCCGCTCTTGATCCCCGTCCGTCTTCCCACCGTTACCCCGTACACCTTCGACCTTAGGTCCGGCGTTCGACAGTTTCACCTACATCTCGTTACCTCGTCCTTCCAGTGGTGGGAGACCCTTTAAAGGATGCGTCCGATGCGTTGATATACATATGCTTTTGCATCGCCGGCGAAGCGCGTAAATCTGTAGGATGGAAATCCGCGTGCGACCGGGAATACGATTATTAAATTCCACACCGGCGGTGGTCGCTGATCGTATAATGTTACAATGATAAAAATAAATGTCGCGCATTTCCAGCGCGTGGAACGAATCCACACGCACGCGTAGAATTTTAATTATCGAGCGAAACGGGCTGAAACGGAGTTGATCGTCCGGAATTGTTGGACATAAATACATTTCGGGTAATTAAAATTCCGCCGAAGCAATAAAACGCGCTCTCCGAATCAACCGGAGACATCGATTTTGCTATTTTCGCTCTTCGAGCTTAACTCAAAAGCTGTTTACACAGCGACGTGAGTGAAACAGATCGCCGTATTTTCGACATTGCCTTCCGGTTTGCGCGCTTTAAAAAAGGTGCGGTTGAAAATGTCGCGTAATCCGTCCTCTGCTCTCATTTCGCGCGGAGTTCGCACAAGCCCGGGGATGGCGTGTAACGTCAACGCGTCGAGTCAAGTGGCTTCATACTCAGTGATTAACTTTAGATTTCATTGTGCCTTTGTTCTGGCTAATTAGCTTCGTTGTAATAACAGAGCGTATCCGAGTTCGACTTGCTATTTTACTTTCCCTCCGCGAGTTTATTCTATACGTACTGTTTTCATAGGAAGGGGCGATATTCGGGATATCCTCCCCCGAGAGGGAAGGCGCGACACGTAGCGGCATGAAAGAAAGTTTCACGAGATCGGGCCGAGTGTCGAGGCAGAAGAGAATTTGTAATCCACGATCAACTTTCAGTTTTATTAGTTTCGTTTTCTCCTCTCTCTCTCTCTCTATCTCTCTCTCTCGTAATAACAGAACATACCTGACCTATTCGGTTTCTCACTTCGCCCTTTCCATTCTTCCCCCCTCCCCCTCCCCCTGCTCTCGCTCGTATTACTTTTCGCCGATATTTGAGTCGCTACTTCGCTCGCGTGGAAAGTCGAGTCAAAAGAATTTATAATCCACGTCATTAGACAGTCCGACCTCGCGCGCGCGCGCGCGCGCTCCGTCTGCGCCTTTACGTGAGTTTCAGCTCCTCGCCCCGGATGCGACGTCTTCCGTTTCACGAAACGTTATACAGACGGCTAGGCACGTACGGGAGATCTTTTCTCTCCCGGGGGACGATATTCTCGATATCCTCGGTAGGATTAAACGCGCGTTCTCCCCCGAGAGACGTGCGATGCACTCCGAGGGCTCCGGAAAGGAGCGGTGACACGCACCGGCACTTCGGCCGATCAGCTGTCGTCTTTTTCTCAAGCGACCGCGACGTTTCTCGTCGCTTTACTGCTCGAAGGTTGTAAAAGCCTAATGGAATGCGGCCGCGTTAGTAACACCCGCGATATCGTTGTCGGCATTTAAATGCAAGCGACAATAAGGACTCCTTCTGGTCACCGGAAAGTACTATATCTCGAGCGAGACGCCTCTCTCTCCCTCTCGCGCGCGCGCGCGCTCGCTCGCTATCCTTCTCGAATAAACGAGATAAGATGGCATCGGGTTTGTCGAGGAGGGAAATTTTGTTACTATTCACTTGGAGTGTAAATTAACGTAAGAAATATATTTTGCATAGTACAATAAGGACATCTCTCTTTGTGCAGAGGGAGTGTCGCGAATATAGAGATCGTATTTCGAAAAGAAAAAGAGAGAGAGAGAGCAGGACGAGGCAAACTTTCCGAGTTAAAACTAACTGGTACAAAGTTATACTTTGAATTAAAACGAATGCATTCGCCACGTTCTATCCGGTCCCCGAAAGCTATTTGGGGGCTCCTAAACTCGCGAGACCAGCGCGACGAGTATGCGTAGTGCGGCACTAGATTAAGCTCGTTTCGGGACAGAAGGAGAGTTATCCACGCGTCGACGACGACATATAGAGGCTTTAACTCAAGTTGAATGGAACTTCGGGCGGGAGAAGCGAAAAGTTTCGCGTTATCGCGCGCGATAGGCTGTACGATATCCTCCCACGTACATGCGCGCACACACCTTCGCGAGTCTTATCTGAATGGAGACGTCGGTTGAAACGATCGGAGATTTTTTCAGGCCTCGATCCCGGCGTAAAGTGGCTGATATGAGAAATCACGCACGATACAGACTGAACTGAATCGGGATCCGCCATTCGCGAGGAACGGGGAGATTTTCGAGTCGTTCCGCAGGAGCGCACGTCCGTCCGTTACCCATTTCGCCGCCTTACGAGCCCTGAGAGTGACATTGTCCGGTTCGACAATGTCACTCAGCCGACATCATCCGCTATAAAGACACCTATTCAGCGAACGTCGAATCAACGTCGCAGTTATCCTGATCGACGGCGGGCGGGCGTGATTACAACGAGATTATCCTGACGGGAGCCGGGAGAGAGATCCCAAGCGCGACGTCGTCGCGTCGACGCGTCGCACCGTCGCAACGTCCTCCACTTCGGCCAACGTTGGAATCATCCGAGGCATCTAGGCGACGCTCCGGCCGATACACGTCGAAGAGAATTCAAGACGGCTCCGAGTCACATCGGATCACACCGAAACTACGCGCGACGCGCGCCTCCGCTCGGGAGAGCGCGCGGAGGCCCGCTCCGAGAGCGCTGCCTCGTCAGGATCGCCGGGAAAGATCCGCAGCGAGAATTACGAAGTGAGGAATCTCGAAAATGCCGAGAAAAATGCCGGCAAGAGTTCGCCGACGAGGATCCCCCCCCCCCCCCC